TGCTGTTCTTGGGAAGTTTAAAAATAATGAAGTGGAGGCAGCTTTTCTGGATTGCATTCTGTGTTGTGGAGCTGGCTGGTGAGTACTGACCGCAGCGAATAGGAGGGTGACAAGCACCGAGCAGTGCATGGGGCAACTTCTTTCTAACTTCTGGATCAGCAGCTGTGGGGAGATGTGTTGGAATGAGTATGGAGTGGAGATTGCAATTGCACATCGAGAACACTGCAGTGGCATTTTAGAGAACAGCACTGCATCAGCATCCTGGCCGAGGCATTCCCAGGGATGTGCTGCAAACAGAAAATGCTGCTGGCTGGAAAAAAAAGAGGGAAAAAAAAAAAGAGGAATATTACAGCTCCCTGTAATATTGCAGATAACACAAGGGGATGCAAACACAGCACGTAGAGCTGGAGAGTGCAGCCACAGCTCAAGCCATTTCTCAGCCTGCACTGGTGTAAATTAGCCTTACTTTTTTTGTTTGGTGGCAGGAACTCAGTATTTTCTGAAAAATCCAACTAATCTCCATAAATATTAAAATCTCCCTATTCCAGCTCATCAAATATTGACAATGTGAAAAAGCGAATAATACAGAGATTTTTTCTCTAGGTAGTGCTTTTTAAAGGGTTGTATTTTAGGGAAATATTATCATCTTTGTCCCAAACCCAACAACCATAAAGTAATAAAAAAAGGGACTTTAAAAAGTGAAGCAGAATTCTGTGTGCTGGGCTGGGAGCCAGGAACCCGCGGGTGTCTCCTCAAATGTGATTTTTTCCTTACTCACATGAACGTGAGCGACTAGATCCATTGAAGGGATTTGCTGTATTTTGTTCTTCTGTTTCACGGTGCTCCTTTCATCTTCCCTTTGCTGCCAAGGTACATTGCTCACCCGAGCTGCTGTGCCTGACCCTCCAGTCTATGTTAATTTTACAGAAAGGAAAAAAAAAAACCAAGTTTTATTTGAGAGAAATAATTCAGGACTGTCTGGTTGGGCTGAAGTGAGCAGCGAGAGAAGGTGTAAGACAAAAGTGTTTACCTGGAATGCAAAACCTGAGTTTCTTGTAGTATAAATCAAAAGTGATATAAAAGCTTTGCCTTTGGAAGACAAAAATACTGGTTAATGCTGAAAAATGTCATTCCCTTGGTGGCACAGCCAATGCTCCGTGTTTCTGTGGGATGTTCCAGGGCTTTGTTAGCACTTGCTGGAAAGTAGAGGAGGTTTATTTCTGTTCAAGCCAGGTGCTGTGCAGAGCAGAGGAAAAGGAGGGAGCTCACTCTTGGGGCTCTGCGTGATCTTTGGGTGCATTGTGTGAAGGTTTCAGTTGTGCAGCTCCCTGTGGAAATCCCAATTTTAGGGGTTTTCTGCCCAGGTTTGCCCAGCCTCCACCTGCCCCCCAGGACAGCTTCAAGCTAAAAACACACATTTTACAGGGAAAAAAAATCCCAACATGCCACGCTGGGCTGGGTGCAGGTCACTACATGTGCCATGTGTGGATGTGGTGTGGGGAGGCTGGAGGTGGGCACCAAGTGTCTGCTGAGTGTGGTTTGACTCCAGAGCAAGGAGCAGCCTCATCTGGCATCACAGGGAGAGAATCATGTATGAAATGCTCCGTTCTGGGGTTCACCCGATGCTTTGGGGAACCCCTGAGGTGCAGTGAGTGTGGGAGAAGGTTTCACATGTCCCTGGTCTGCAGGGCAGGCTGATGCGCTGGGGTTACTGGAGAACCCTCTGCCCAGCCAGCAGCACGATGCTGTGAGCAGCTCTTGGAGTAAAATTAGGTCTTGATGAACCACGTGCAGAGCTGTCCTTGTCTCAAAGGACACATGTCCTTGTCCACATGCTCATCTCAAAACTTACATGGGAGAGAAAGTATATATTCTATTTGTACCTAATACTAACTTTTTAATTTTTTTTTCCTTTTTTTTAATTTTTACCTTTCTGCTTCACATCTTTTTTTATTCATCACTGCCAAACTTGATTTTTTTAAAAAAAATCTATTTTCTTGTCGTTTAAAAGATTTCTTTCTTTCCTTCATTCCTTTTACAAGATCTAGAAAAGCTTTAAAAATCAGCAAAAGGGGCTTTAAAACTCACACACACTTGTGTTTAACATTCTTTAGAGGACTGCCCACCATAACTACTCAAGCCAGGAGCATCCTTGGTCCCCAGGAAGGTACCAGGTCCGCAGGCAGCACCCAGCTGCCAGCAGAACCCCAAACCCAAGAAGACCCTTGGTGCAGCAGTTGGGGTTTGGGGAGGGGACTCGGGAGGCTCCCGCAGCCCCTGCCCCACACACCCTGCGTGACTGCAGCCCCACACCCATATCCTGTCTGGGAGAAGGAAAAGGGATTTTTTTTATCAGATATTTCCAGAGGGAAGAGGGCTCCACCCGCTTGAATTCCTGCCACATGGCTGAGAGCAGGCAAAGTGGGAAGGCGTGAGTAATGCAGGCTGGAGCCTTGGAGGAGCTGCTGCGGGAAACCTGGGTCAGCTGCAGCTTCTGAGCTCTCTCTGTGCTTCCTCCATTCCTCATCTTCATCTTCTGCAGCCACTGGCACCGATGGTACCGTGGTGCTTTGCTGTAGGACGTGATCGGGGGAGCTCAGCCACAACCCTCGCAGCTTGTAGAGTGGTGATGAGCTTGGAAAAAGACTTTGTTGGCCACACAGAAGAAGTGGAGAAGCCATCCCAGCACAGGGTTAGTGTGTCAGAGCACTGCAGCAGGCATCTGCTGAGCAAAAGCTTTAGCAAAAAGTTTACCAAGAAATTTGTGTATCAGCCCGTGTTGGCTTGGGAGATGCAATTCCTGCCTGGGAATCTCCTTCCACCGTGCAGGGATGGAGACGTGCAGGGAGAATTTGGTTTCATTTTCTGTGGGTGCAGAGAAGGGCAGGAATTGTGGAAACTTTTCTCCTGTTTCATGAGTGTTTGCCACTGTAGTTTTTCCTTCTATGGTCCTGGTTTAGTGCTCAAGTTTTTGGAACTGGATGATTTTTAAGGTCCCTTCAAACCCAAACCATTCTATGCTTTTATGAAGTCAACTATATTGTTGGGTTTTTTTAAAATTCGATTTGAGCTGAGCTATTTTTTTAAGCCCCATTATTAAAATACCTTAAAAAACCAGAGGCATTTACTTTTTAAAAGCTAGATGTTGAAATACAATAGGCGCTGTGAAGTAGAGTTTTCTCTCACAGATCTGCATGTGCTGGCACTACCAGGTGAAGATTTCTCTGAGGTGAATAAATGGCTTGGCTTGAACTCTCAAACCCTTAATACTAACAAATTGACAAAGTTTAGCAAAGCTGGTAAAAATGTACTGTGCAATGAATGACCCAGTTTAGCTGAGCACTGTGTGGCTTGTCCAGCCCACATCTGGATCATTCTTTATCTATCTCATGAGTCCTCAGGTTTCAAAAAACTTACCCATGTTTTCTCTACAAGCGCCTGCAGATGCTACAAGAAAGGGAAGAAAAAGAAATACTCTGTGACAGGTCTTGTCACAAATTACACTGAGCAATAATCCAGGCTGCAGTTTCTGATATTCAGTGGTGAAAAGACTTTGATTAGAAATACCTCTGGTGCTTGACAAACATCTGGAATAGTTCAAAGGTTCTTGGGTGGCTGTGGCACTCGGGGAGGTCAAGTCCAGGCTCTGTGTTGTTGGAATGATGTAAAATTTCCTGCTAATGTCCGTGCAAACGCAACGCTGTGTGCAAAGCAGGGATTTAACTTTGTGCTACTCATGATTCTGGGCAGGCAGTCATGCCTTCTGCTTTTGATTTGTTAAAATTCATCAGAAAAACTTGGTGATTTAACCAGTTGGAACTGAATTGTCTTGGAGAGGAGAAACTCCTCCCTTAAATAAAAACAGTGCCAGAATCTAAATCCCAGCTCCAGACACCTGCGCTGAGCCCTCGGCAGGGCCCCCGCCTCCCCCGGTGCTCCTGCGCCCGGAGCAGCTGCCCGGAGCAGCTGCAGCTGGGATGGGATGGGATGGGATGGGATGGGATGGGATGGGATGGGACGGGATGGGACATGGTGGGATGGGATGAGATGGGATGGGACAGGATGGGACGGGACAGGGCAGAATGGGATACGGTGGGATGGAAGGGGGTAGAATGGGATGGGGTGGGATGGGATAGGACGGGACAGGACAGAATGGGACACAGTGGGATGGAATGGGATGGGATGGGATAGAATGGGATGGGATAGGATGCACCAGCACAGTCTGGAACAGCTGAGCAGCTCTGCCTGCTGCCACCCAATGCCCAAATGAACGTTGGTGATCTTGGTCTTTGCTTTTCATAAACTGTCCAGATTGTCTGGACCTGATCCAGCAAAGTTTGAAAATCCTGATGTAGAAAAATTCCTTCCAGGACAATACTGCAGTGCCCGATATTGCAGTGCCACCTCCCTGGAAGTGTTTAAGGTCAGGTTGGATGAGGCTTTGAGCAACCTGGTCTAGTGGAAGGTGTCCCTGCTGCTGGCAGGGGGGTTGGAACTAGATGAGCTTTAAGGTCCCTTCCAACCCAAACCAATCTGGGTTCTATACTGCAGTGCACAATGCTGCACACAGCATAACTGGGGGTTTAACTGGAAATAAACACCTTCAGCTCAGCCAATGCTCTGTCACCGGTGCTGGGCAGCTGATCAGAACCCATCAGTGCTGCTCCATCCCAAAGGATGGAGCAGCAAAGGGTTGTTTGGAAGGATGGAGTAACTTCTTGGAGCTCAAGCACCCCTGGGCAGAAATACAAATGAAACGATGTATTTTGTGTGATTTTCTCTTTAGTGTCTAGATAAGAATCTTAACCAGCAACAGCCCTGGAGTACAGACTGATGCTGTTTGTGAAAAGTGGAAATAGATCTTAAGAATAGAAAAGGTTAAGAAATGGGAAGAAATTCATTTGCACTGACTCATATAGCTCATTCCAGAAGGAAAAGCTAGAAGTGTCATCTTTGTAACATACCAGGAAGCAATATATAAACTTTAAGTTAGAACAGCAAACCATTCTCCAAACATTCTGTTTTACCTCCAAAGATGTTTTCGCTCATGAGTCAGAGCTGATCCCAAGCCAATGGGAATGTTTCTATTTACTTTGAGATTGTGCCTGCAACTGCAAATCCCACTTATTTTTCCTGAGGCGCACAAGTGATCTCTTCCAAGGCCTGAGTCTTTCCTCCAAGGATTATAAACCCCAACTACGATGAAATCCAGCTTTGTCCAGAGCTTTGTGCATCCCTGGGTGAGCCCGAGGATGGGGCAGGATGAGGGCAGAACCCAGCCTGTTCTCCCCCAGCAGCTCCTGGGAGCCCCAGAGCCTCTGCAAGGGCTGCACCCAACTTTGGTCCTCACCCAGCTGAAATGTTTATTTAGTCTCTGAGCTTCTCCCATATGAACCTCATTTTGGGGCAAGAAGAAAATGATTGTGTGAAAGCGGCTAACATCACCTTGCCCTGCCTGCAGGGACCACGGGGCCAGGGAGAGGCTGGGGTGGGGGGACAGCAGCTCCTGACACCTTCCTCTGTCCCCAGGCAACACTTCTGGGAGCCCCACAGACACCCCCACACCCACGGCCACAGCCACAGCATCGAAAGACACCAGCAGCACAGCAGCCACTGGAGCCACTGGAGCAACTGGAGCACCCAGCAGTGCCAAGCCAACGTCTGGTAACTGCTCCCCTCACCCCCCTCGTGACACCTGGTAGCATTTGTGTTAATAATCGGGTTTATTAAGTGCACAGGTTTGCGCACAGGTTTGCCCCGCACTTAATAAAAACTAATAAAAATAATAAACTTAATAAAAACTTAAAAGAAACTGCACAGTCAGTGCGTGGGTTGTGCTCTCAAAAAAGAGATGGGTAGTTTGGTCAAAAGCTTTGATCCTGGCCAAAAAAAATCCCACTTGGGGCAACTGAACACTGCTGTCTTCAGGACAGGTGACTTAGACCCATCCCTTTCAAACCAGCCAAAAGATGATGGGACAAAATGCTCATTAATCTTTTATCTCAACATACCTATTCCTTGCTCAGCAACTGGCACCAGTAAGAGGTCTGCCAGGCTTTCCAGTCAGAGCCCCAGGCTCTGGAGAGCTCTGAAAGAGGGGAGGTTTTTAAACTGAAAGAGGGGAGGTTTAGATGAGATATTAAGAAGAAGTTTTTCACTGTGAGGGTGGTCAGACACTGGAACAGGTTGGGCAGATCCCTGGAAGTGTTGAAGGCCAGGTTGGATGAGGCTTTGAGCAACCTGGTCTAGTGGAAGGTGTCCCTGCTGATGGGAGGGGGGTTGGGACTGGATGAGCTTTAAGGTCCCTTCCAATCCAAACCATTCTATGATTCTATGATATAATTCTATGAAGCAGGGAGCCTTGCATGGATGTGTGGTGTCTGTCTCTGATGCTGTTTGAAATCAGTAGAGCTTTGTGAAAACTCGAGGTCAAGAGGGAGATGAGAGCAGTGCAGGGGTCGGGCAATGGCATCCTCGCTGTGGTGCAGCGTGTGCCCAGGAAATTAGCCCCTTGTAAACAGCTGATGAAGCACATGTAACAATTAGGCAGCTGAAGCAAGTCTAATGGGCGTTTCCGGGCTTTTCCTCCCCAGCCAGTGACACGTTCTGGTGCCGCTGGCTATGACAAATCAATATTGTACTTCAGTCAGCCCAATGCCACGCGTTCACTTGAGAGGACTGAAGGGTTTTTTTCATGTCTCCTTTTCATTGCATTTCTTCAAAACCAAAGCTGAGGTGGGGTCCCTGGAAACCAGCCCCACCTCCCTCGGGCTCCGCCGTGAGCGGACGAGGCCC